TAGACAAGTTGTTTTAAAGCTTAGTAATAACAATTATTAACTGATTTAACCCAAAGAGAAGAAACTTGTTAATCTGTATTAATTAATAAATGTGGTAATAGAATTGTAAGTGCTGTTCAAGTAAGTACAATACCATACAATTTAAAAACAATCAGCATTCAATATCAACATTTACAAGCAAAATTCTGTCAATAGTGCATTTCTTCAATATCGTCCAAAAACAACATATTTTTAACTTCCATCCAGTATGTTTCAGCTATATTTTAGCCATCATCAAGGGCTCACACTATCCAAAGTTTGACATAACTGTTTATAAAAATACTAAATTCTCTATTCATACTATTTTTTAACAAGTAAATGGATTCATATATTTGGGATATAAAGTTTAGTGCAAAAAGCAAAAGAACACAACTTCAGAAATATCCTTTTTTGTTTTGGGCTGTCAGAGCAATGTTATGAAACAAGATATAATCCAGAAACAATCTTGATTTAAATTATATTATATTTTAGACATCCCATCAGTTTTATCTGGCTGTGCAATCTGGGCGTTGAAACAAAGGATATAAGAAGACTGGAGATGGAATCCATGAGACACACAGCGTGATACAATTTATTAGATCAAAAAAATGAATATATTTTGGAATGTGGTTTGGATGCAGTTGAAAAGAAATTAGAATTACATAAACAAAATTAGTTGTATCATGTGAGATGGATGAAAATATTAGACAGCCGAAACAATTTCTTGAGTGTGACTTTTTGGAAAATGAAGACCTCAACATCTATTAAAGAGATTACTGGATAATTACAATCTTAAGCTAAAATAGGTTACTTATTAGCCTAACTAAGGTGATGACACTGTTACATTTAATTATGCTAAAATTCATTTATATCTTTATTTCATAATAACTTATCACTTTATATTTGTTTACTATCGCACTGTTTGTATATTTCCTATTAAATGTTACCCAGTTTGTAGTATCAGAGACTGTTCAGCCACAAGTAATTCTTTTACAATGTGATTAGAGAATTTTTTCAAACTGATAATAGAATTATTGTAATAAGTTATGTTTACTTATAATAACATTTTAAATACTGTGAACCCCTGATGACGTCTAAAGAATAGCTGAAACATGTTATGTTAGAAGATGAAATGTTGATTGTACTGAAGTAATGCATTTTCAAATTCAGATACAGTAGTGATATAAACGAATAGCAAAATAAATTTTAACGATGCACACATACTTTTAATTCATAGTTGAGGG